GTTTTTTGCCGGTATTTTTCCTGGGTTTTTTGGCCAGTTCTTGCCAGTTTTTTTTTTTGCCGGCTTTTCCCGTTTTTCTGCCGGGTTTTTTCCTGGTTTATCTTGCCTTTTTTTTTTTTTTTTTTTTCCGGTATTTTTGCCGGGGTTTTTTTTCCCTGTATTATTCCCGGTTTTTTGCCGTTTTTTTTTCCTCCTTGTTTTGCCAATTTTTGCCTGTTTTTTGCCGGATTTTTTCCCTGTTTTTTCTCCGGGTTTTTTTCCTCCTTGTTTTGTCGATTTTTCCTGTTTTTTGCCGGATATTTTCCCGGGTTTTTTCCCTCCAATTTTTGCCTGGTTTTTGCCGGATATTTTGCCTGGTTTTTGCCGGATTTTTTGCCTGGTTTTTGCCGGATTTTTTCCCGTGTTTTTGCCGGGTTTTTTTCCTCCTTTTTTGGCCAATTTTTGCCTGTTTTTTGCCGGATTTTTTGCCGGGTTTTTTTCCTCCTTTTTTTGGCCAATTTTTTGCCTGGTTTTTGCCGGATTTTTTCCCGGTTTTTTGCCGGGTTTTTTTGCCGGTTTTTTTTCCTCCTTTTTCTTGCCAATTTTTGCCTGTTTTTTGCCGGATATTTTCCCGGGTTTTTTTCCTCCAATTTTTGCCTGGTTTTTGCCGGATTTTTTGCCGGGTTTTTTCCCTCCTTTTTTTGGCCAATTTTTGCCTGTTTTTTGCCGGATATTTTCCCGGTTTTTTTCCTCCTTGTTTTGCCAATTTTTGCCTGGTTTTTGCCGGATATTTTCCCGGGTTTTTTTCCTCCTTGTTTTGCCAATTTTTGCCGGATTTTTTCCCGTTTTTTTTCCCGGTTTTTTGCCGGGTTTTTTTCCTCCTTTTTTGGCCAATTTTTGCCTGTTTTTTGCCGGATATTTTTCCCAGGTTTTTGCCGGGTTTTTTTCCTCCTTTTTTTGGCCAATTTTTTGCCTGGTTTTTGCCGGATATTTTCCCGGGTTTTTTCCCTCCAATTTTTGCCTGGTTTTTGCCGGATTTTTTGTCTGGCTTTTGCAGGATATTTTCCCGGGTTTTTTTTTTCCTCCTTTTTTGGCCAATTTTCCCCTGTTTTTTCCCCGTTTTTTCCCGTTTTTTTTCCCGGTTTTTTTCCCTCCTATTTTCGCTAATTTTCCCCTGTTTTTTGCCGGATATTTTCCCGGTTTTTTCCCGGGTATTTTTCCTCCAATTTTTGCCAGGTTTTT